TTGCTCTATGACGCTGAATTGAAGGCTTATAATCTGTCCAGCCTTCGCTATGTGGACGGTCACGACCGCTCTTTTTAGCCAGTGGGGGAATGTGGTAGCTGCGAGAGGCATGTTCAACACCTTGTATGTATGCTGGCGCAAGCTAATGATCAAGTTCGAACAGCTACCGTGCCGCTCATTTTTATATACTTTTTTTTCTACGACTTTGCGTATACGGCGATGCTCGTGTTATACACGCTCGAGATTCTGCCTTATAATATTCGTGCCAAAGGGTTTGCAATTATGGTTGGTCGCTTCCATCCTATCTCTGAATGCCCCCTAACGTCGTCTACAGAATATTACTATCTATTCTACCAATGCTTTTAACTCGCTTGTCAATCCTGTAGCCCTGGACACCATAGGATGGAAATACGTAAGTTGTCAGGCCTCATTCATGCGATCGATCGACCTTTTTTGCACAGTACCTCTTTTACTGCGGATGGCTTATCTTGGAACTCCTATTCGTGATGGTGTATATTGTCGAGACGAGAGGTGATTGTTATCTCTTTGCCTCATCGAGCTCTTGTGGACTGTTGCTTTTTTAGCTCGCACTCTTGAAGAAACCGCCGCTTGTTTGACGCGTTAAAGTCCATCGGGGTATCGTGGAGCGGACGGATGAAGCTGGCATGACTTTAGGCAGAATGTCACCATACCCTGGACTTCAGGACAATCCCGGAGCAGTGGAGACTGCGAGTTCTGTTTCGCGATCGTATTTCGAATCTCAGTCTGAAGAATCTGCTGTTGCGTTTGCCAGATAAATTCACGATTGCAGTTCACGATTATTGTATGTACTAAGAGCGTTCAAATGCTGCAGAGTTATGTTCGAGTTGGCTGATTGGGGTGATCAGACAGAAAATCGGTGCATTATTCTTATCAAGTTTCTAGGTCATTCTGTCGATGTTGTGCACCATGGAGATCGTGATAGTTTATTCCCTCTCCTTTACCACCTCTGGTTACGACATGGCGTCTCCCCACCTAAGTACAGGCGCTTGCAGACTGTTCACGGATTATCACTGCAAATCGATGTAAAGAAACCAGATGAATATTTTGGAGGAGCGGCCTTCATCAGCTTCAATCGATCAAAACAGGAACGGGGTACAGATGTCGTTCCCATTGTGCTTATTCAGCCTTAAAGCGGTGGGAATGATGGTAGCCTATCTGAGAGGAACAAGGAGGAGCATCATCGTCAGGAAACGCATAACGACGCACACCACAGGATAGAGGGATAAATGCACGAGTGCACTGGGATCCCAGTTGGTGGACGCTTATCGATTCATTTCGTGTTTCTAGCTATTTTTAGGTTCGTGGAGAGCTAGTCGCAGGTCTTGGCTGCGGTGCCTTACGATTGGGGTGAGCAAGATATCATGAAATGATGAAAGAACCGCTAACATTCTTAGAAAATTGTCGATCGTAATTGCAACACTAGGTGGCGAGCTACTGCATCATGTTAGTGAAATGGTTTTTCTGACACATAATTCGGGTCATTATGATTCCTCGCTTACATACCATGTATCAACGATCCAGGAAGGCGTCGATCTCTCTCAGTCATCTTGTTGGCGGTCAATATCACCAGTGGAGTGATCGCCGCAATGATAGTGGGACACGTTTCAATTGATAAGCTTTGATTATGGATGACATACTTTAGTGCACGAAGCTCATTGACGAATACCAGAGGAGATCATTCTGTTCAGCATCCATCAATGCGCTTCTGAGTTGGATGCTTCCCACTATATGAAAGGTCCTCGTGCTATATCTCGCAGCCTGATGTTAAAACGTTGGACGCTCCATATGTCCGCAGTGCTGCAGCTGCAGCTACCATGGATGTCCCGCCCGCCCAGATTGTTTTCAATTTTCACGGGAGCGTAAGGATCACGTGTAAGTACCTCCAATGATTGCTTTCATGGGGGCCAGTGTTGTCTAAAACTCACACGAAGGGAGGGTGGCAGAACTTGGCAGAACTCCAGTGTATCCGAGGACCGACTCGGAGACTCGCGATGTTCCGGGCCAGTTGGATCGGGTCGAACAAGGAATGATTCCACAAGCTAATCTGGATGAGGTTGACGTTGAAATGGTCAATTACAATGGTGGGGATGAGGGATGGGATGGAGCAGCATTGATGTCGTCGTCAGGAATGCCATATACACATAGTCTATTGTAATAGCCTAGAGTTTTGTTGCCCCGGTAAAACAACCACCGCGCCGGTTCTGCCGGTTATAACCGGCAGCCGAAGTAGTTCTTAGAGTTAGACTGCCTACACTATTTCAGGTTTTCATCTAATAGTGCATAGCAGTACTTAGACTGGTGACCAGCCCGTCTATGAGGCACTAGGCGTTGCGTTTACACAGCTCCATCGCACTGCTCCGATTCCACCACCTTTGTTCTTCCTTTTCCTTTATTCATAGCCTTCCACTAGTTTCCCGCTTGGTCATGCAACCGTACAGGGGCGTGTAAAACATTGATCGGGGTGTATCTGGTCGTGCATCTGTACTCATCATGTGCATGATTGATTTGGCGCTGACTATACTTTGCGAATGTTTGTGACATTATAGCCCGATGTCCGAGGCACTCGGAGAATGACGAGGTGCGCAAAAGGCGAAAGGCGCTGAGGGCGGCGAAGAGCAGGTATGGAGAGATGTATGTGCTCCGAGGGGTTGTTAGCAGCCCGGGTGGGACAGGTGAGTTATCCGTTCGCTTCATTTGGACCTCCCATACTTTCGTTTCCAACTTTTCTGGTTCATGCCAATATAATGTGATCGTGTTGAGTGACCTTGGACAAGCTAGTATACTCCCAAACCTGAGTGAGCAAGGTGGAGGTTCACCATTAGCATCAACTTTGATCCTATGAGTCAGGACCGGCATGGAGTACCTTGACTTCCTTTTTCTTACGAAATTACTGAATGTGGTCATTCAAAACAGGTCATCCTGTAGTTCTTATTTCGGCGGTAAAAACGCTGGATGGTGGGATATTTAGCATGGACGACGCCACCCGTCACCAGGTTCGCGCCCATCCTCTAACAACATGACCTTAATCTCAAATGATCCTGTTTGGTGGTCGTTCATGCTTTCAACCCAAATGACCAGTTATGTTGTTGGTTAGTGGAGAATCAGTTGGATGATGCATGGCGATGTGATGATCTAACCTCACGGTTTCGCAGCTGCCTTCTCTTTTGCGGTGATATATGATTGGGGTGAGCAAGATAGTATTCAAGTATCACTGGTATACTTATAGTGTGTTCTAGCATTGACGTTCGGACGAGAGGTGGGTTGGTATCATTACTGGAGCATCCATCTCCCTAATGATGTATTTACAGGTCGAATTGGTTTGGGTAAGCAAAATCTTGCAACAGAAAACACCCAAAGATATAATTAATGCGCGGCAGAGGCAACATTGGTCACTTATGACTGTTCTGTATTTCAGCGCATGTATTTTGTGTTAGTTGAGACGTTATACTGACTTGACAATGTTCTAGGTCCGCTACGCTGGTATATTGCATGCTATGTATGTTTAGATGGCTAAGCAATTGATGTTGTGTTAATCAGCTGTCTCTTATACTCAGCATCAACATTCAGTGTATGTCTATTCACATACATTGTTTTTTTTCCTTTGATCGATAGCATACAGTGTCCCTTTCGTCAAATTCGGTGACAGATTCAGTAAGTATTCTGTACCGCTGCCTGCCATTCATATATGAATCAACCGTACTCCCCTGTAGGGGTGAGTGAGTTATCGAGCTTCCTGGTTCAATATAGTGATTGCTGTAGCTGTGAGTTTATTTAAAGTCTGATCATCCGAGGTTGTTAACCAATGTCACTTGATTTTTCAGGTCATATGATGTTCGACGTACTAAGTTGGATGAATGTCGCCGTGACTGCAATACTGGGCGGTGAGCTACGCAGCTGCATTACGTTGATTGGACTGACACATCGCGCAAGTCATCATGATTGCTCTGTTACATGCCATGTACCAGCAATCCAGAAAAGTACTGATATCTCTCGGCGTCATCTTCCTGGCTGTCAACATCGCCAACGGAGTGATCGCTGCAATGGTTACGAGCCGTGTTTTATCGGGTAAGCTTTAATTCTGGTGGATGGCAGACTTGAATACGTGAGGCTCATTTGCAAATACCAGAGGTGTTCATTCTCTTCGGCAATGCTCAGTGCACTTCTGACTTTCAAGAAGGCTCAGATAATCTACTTCTGGCTTTGATGACTTGGGCTTTCCCCGCTGCATGGGAGGTCCTTGCACTATGTCTCGCAGTCCGGATTGCTGTCAAACGCCTCCGGGAGCTGCAGCGACCATTGTCAGGATGGCTTAATGCTGGGGACTGTTTCGCGGTGTTAACAAAAACCCACGTAATTTACTTTGCAAGGTGAGCTTATGATGCGAATGCAATTATCATTTCCTGCTGAAGTTCTGCACCTTTAGTTTTGTTGCTGTTTCTTGCTTCATCCTCCCTTATGTGCTTGTAACGACCATAGCGGTATGTCGATGTGATACTGACGTTTGCATGCGACTCTCGCTCATCATTACCACAGGACTCAATTGTTGCGGAACGTCGGATTTATTTTGGTCTGGCCCAAACTTTCATAGTCACAGTGATGTGTGTGCTGGGACCACACCTAATCCTTGGCGTTCGAGAATATCACGCGAAGCTCGTGGCTCACTCCGAAGGAGGGCCCGACATGCCTTCGATTGCCTTTCAAGAGCGTGTGCATGTGTCAACCAGCACCAGTGTGTAGCATGGGACATGCTTCCCGTGTTCGCTGCATGTCGGGTACTCTGCAGGGAGGGAGGGAACTTGTTTTATGTTCGAAGTTTTCATCATGATACTTTTGTCTAATATACATAAGCACGCATTTCCGGCGGCTCAGTGTCAATTGTGTCCACCCCGTCATGCTAATATCCTTAATATAGATTCCAAGTAGATTTGTTAGAGAACCTATATGTCTGGACAAAGGGATATACATCGTACATATTTATTAGCGCAAGCAAGGGTTCTGTTAGGCGTTGTGAGATGATGGTAAGTTATCCGAGTCGGGATCAGTAAACGAGTTCTCCCAAATGTTGTTAAGAACTGTACGAGTAGCCGTCAGACATGTTAGAGGCCAATACGGCCGATGGTGTTGTTTGAGCATTGCTAGAGATTATATATCAGTTGAGTGATACAGTAAAAGGAGTGCATGCTGTCTAGTAGCAGGACTGGCCGGGAAATGAATGGGAGACCGATCGACTGATAAGGTCACATGCGGTATCTCAGCCAAATACGTCCTCAACGGAACTATGACACAAAGTTGTCGTTCGTTAGCCTGCCGTTTGGCGTTCAGGTTTATGGAACTTGTTTCCGTTTTCGTTTCGATTCACGAGCCCTGGCCAGTAATTTCTGTGAGACTTAGGAATGTGTCGTACATAAGCTCTGAGCCGTTTCCTCTGCTTCTGTCATATATACACTGCTGGAGCAACAATCAGTGAGAAGCAACCGTCACAGAAAAGTAGAACATTCCACTGTAGTTACAGCGTGCAATAGTGTACAATCGACATCATCAAACACCAATCCACCAAACGGGTAATTATGATCAGAGCACTCAGCACGTATGTCATTAATAAACCCCAGGAAGCAATCTATATTTCACCTTCTGAGCCCAATTCTCCCAATCCTCTCCAAGAGCACGCTGCAGCATCTTGTCCTCCACTGAAGATCGGTCGATGCCAACTAAAGCGGTTGCTGTATACATGAAGAGGACAATCGTTGTTAGTACCTTCATGCAAGGCACTTGGAGAATTCCAGACTGCCTCATCCACGACCCTTGGCCCCCGTGCATGATGACAATCCCGACGTATTGCAGAAGGAAGCCAGTGTAGCTTGGGTGGCGGACGATAGAGTACGGGCCGTTTGTTACGATTTTGTGCTCTTTTCTGACGCTGAGCAGGAAGCTCCAGAACTTTCCCAAAGTCAACATGCAATAAAGCCTGAGCACGCCGCCGACTATGATAGAAAGACTGCCAGCAAGGAAAACGGGAGTGGTTGGCGTGGAGTGAAGTGTGCGCAAAAACCGCACAGCACTAGCGCCATAGACGCTCTCTGGAATATGCGAGGGACCTATATGCACAGCGAGAATGTTGGTCACTTCAACAAGTGATGCTGCCCATGCGCTAATCTGTTATATTGTCCACCGATCCATACAGACAAAAATCGATATATGGGAGAAACACACCTTGAATGACTCTGGACCCTGAAGATATAAAAACAGGCTGATAAATGATTCGGACACCGATGGCACCACCTTCTCTTGAGATGACGGTGGCAGGGAGCGAGAAGTCACCGAGATGTGTATGCCAATGGCTGAAGCTACGAGGAAGGGGATCTTCAAAAGACTCATGCTGCATCGCTGAACCTGCGATAAGAGTTACTTTAAATACCTGAAAGTCGACTCCTCCATTCCTACGCCACAAAACGCCCAAGGGATAAATTTGAATCTTTGACATGAGTTTCGCAGGGACTGATAAGCTGTCAAACCTTCCTTGAACGTGATCCTGACGTCTAGGACTCAGCTATCGTCAGGCCCCTCCAGTATCATTATGTAGAGTACGCTCAGTAAGCCCCAGACAAAAGTAAGAATGCGTGCTTGGGAACATTCTGTTAGAAACACGTTCGGTGGGGGTGGATCGAATCTCATTCTCATCTTGGCCTGCACGAGCATCACGCCCGTTTGAGATCAAAACCGTAGAACCTTGGCTTCGCCTTGTGAGCATAGAACGGACGGCTTCAATAACGCAAATTGTGCGAAATTATAGAGAGTTGTATGGTCACTCCGAAGTGACTGTACTCACTGAAAGAATAGTGATCAGTAAAGATTTGGCAAAGTAGAATTGAGATGACGGCGAGTTTCATGTCTTGCGGGAGTGCCTTTGCACGCATCTGAGCACGTGTATAATGGTGCTGAGAGTACTAGGATGGGCAAGGGCGTAGAGGACAGTGATGTATGAGGACGTGGATGGTGATGAGGGTGTACACGAGCATCATGGGTCGAGTGGAGGTTTTGACTTTGTTTCTGATGATATAGTAAATACTGATGCTCATTGAAAAGCGACTACATAAACGGCCCGAAAGTCACATGACTGAAAAACGCTCGACAAAAGGTTGGTACATACATATTCAAGCCTGAAATAGTGAAAGGTCTTATAGCAAATTTCATAGCAAAACAATCTCATCCAAGCGCAACCCATCCACACAACTCCATTTTATCACTGATCTCCGTCGGCATCCTCAACACGCTCTCCTTATGCAGCTCATTAATATTACACCTCTCCGAACATAGCACAAATCTCCCAAGCCCTCCCTCCCGTCCCGCGAATATACACACCGTTGGTGGTCGCTCCGCACGGAAGTAGTACATCGTCGACGAGCACGTGTCGATGAGCGTATAGATGTGTCCCGCATCTGGTCCGCTATCTGCTTGTTTGGCATTGCTGTATTGTGTGGGCGACCCTGCCCGTTTCGTGCCTTGTTCTGGAGCCGAGAACTGTGATCCGCTCGGCGTGAAAAACATTCTTGGGAAGTGTTCACTAGTGACAGCACCGTACAAGTGCCTCTCTGCCTCTGCGATGCTGATGACCCCTTTCACTCCGATGAACCATGGTTGTGAGCTGAGGATACGCCCAGATTGACTGTAAACGAACAGCCAAGGGGAAACAAGGAGGAGCACGACTCCAATTACGACGAGTGTGATGTCTCCCGCTCGGTTGGTCGTAACAATACATAGTCCAGAGATAATGATTGGCCACGAGAGATACGGAACGAAACCGATGATGGACCTTTTCAACGAATTTGTGGTTGCGGGTACAACCTCCGGGAAACCTTTCCATCTGATAGCTGCCGCCCGACACCCATCAACCACAAGAGCTCCATTCTCCGTGATACCAGCGACCTGGATCTCCGGTAGAATATCCCAAAGGTTGGCACCGTAGATATCATCGTCAGAGTACCAACATGCCTTCTCGGTGATGGTCGAAGGCAGCATGGATACCATCCGCTCAACGATACGGTCATCGTCATTGGCCATTGACAGCCTCACAAGAGCGTGCATATCGTCCTCCGAGTGGTTTGGCTGAATCCGGTGCTCAAAAAAGCCCATCAGCGCATACACATGCTGAGCCTTGTACACGTCGTGTGCCGCATTGCGCCGCCATATAGCTGATTTCAACAGCATCAAGCGCTCCAACCTCTCAAGCGGATCCTTCCCGCTGTACGCGTTGATGATAG